ACTGTTCATCGGAAATGTGGAAAACTGAAAGCTGAATCCACAGAGATGCAAATTAATGATTCCGTTTTTATTTCAAATTGGTATTTATTGGCAGATGTGTTCTGACAGCTCAGAGACAAGTAAACATTTCATTAGGAATAAAAAGGAGGTTCAATTACTGACATCAGCATTTGAATCTTTACATTCATACGGCGACTGGAATGGACCTCCTGCACTGTTTTATTCCCGCAGTTATCAAAGGCCAGGCCCCTGTTTGCTAGATAAACCTCACTGACATAAAGGATGAGTTCTCCCTGACCAGCCACCTTTTTCCTTCTAATGTGCACACGTTACAGCGAACATACCAGCATCAATCTACTGCAAGGAAGAAAGTCTGAATATTCCAGGGTTTCCCATGTATTGACAAGAGTCTCTGACAGAAGATAGCAAAGGCAAACATGTAAACATTAAGGCAGTTTAAACATTCTGGAAAAAAAAATTTTACCACCAGCTAGATACCAAGCTTCTAAATCTGATCACAATAGCAGTCAGAAGATGGGTGGATTGAACTTAACAATAATTTCATTTCAGTTTAAATTTAACACTAGTATAATCTTTATGAAATGTTTCAAAGGCACCACAATCACACTGCTGATGAGGTTCCGCAGAAAATAATGCCAATCAGTAGTAAACAGTCTGTGTTTAATAAGCTCATTTTATCGATGTGTGATTTCAAAAAATTGTCTCGAAACATTTATAACATGACCTCACAAAACCGCAAGAAAATACACATTCTTGTATAAATCAGAGATTTCAATGATTATGGATGAATTCAAGCATTGAACAGAATTCATATTCACTTCAATTTGCTTTCACAACACATTTGCCCCAAGGCACTTGACAAGAGTATGTGGCAATCCATTACTACATCATTTATACAAAATGGTGCATGAAACAGGGAAAGGGGTAATGTCAGAAGACAAGAGAAAGTGAGGCACTGTAAGCGAGACGCGTCACAATTTTAGTTAAATAGGGAAAACTCACAGTGTCAGGCCACATCAAGCTGTACTGTTACAGTAAGGAAAATCATGCATGAAAAGCACTAACTCACCTTGGACCAGTGAGCCACAAGTTCCTAGCAGATTTTAGGGACTGTAACTGCAATGAGTGCAATAACTGCATTACCTGCAATAACTGCATTAACTGCATCAACTGCTGTAACCACTTCTCAGACCTAAAAACGCACCGTACGAACGAACGTAGCAAAAGTGGGGACCCTAAGTTCATACCCACAATAAAACCCTATGATCTCACCTCCAGCTTGCATTTAATAGGAAAACAGGAGCTGCTGTTATTTGATGGATATTTATGTTCAAAGCAAGAAAACTGTAAGGCTGTGAAAATTGTGTGTATTTATTATGCAAAATTTGGATGGCTGGTGGCTGCTTAAATCAAAATCACAAATAATAAAATGTGAGAAAATACCATAACTCTTTTAGGAAGGCAGCATACATAACTGCAAATAATATAACTGCATATTTATCTCCATCCCTCCCTCCCTCCCTCCCTCCATCCATCCATCCATCCATCCATCAATCCATCCACCTTTCAATCACTTGGCCTGTACAGGTTATGGGGGCAAATTAATATAATATAATATAATATAATATATGGGTACATGTTCCTCCTGTGTTGTACATTCTACATGTTCTCCGCATGTCATGCATTCTGCATTTTCTCCTCGTGTTCTGCATTGTGCATGTTCCCTCTGCATTGTGCATTCTGCATGTCGCGCATGTTCTCCTCATGCCGTGCATTCTGCATGTGCTCCCCGTCTCCCGTGGCTTTCCTTCCATCTCCTTCCACACTCCTTCAGTTGGGCGATTTGGTCACTAAATTGCCCATGGCGCGTGACGGTGGGTGTTATTGTGTGTGAAAATGATCAGCAGCAGAGGTATTAAACTGAGAAGGTGACGCGGGGAACGCGGCGAGGTGTCGGTAGAACAGTTAAGGCACCGCAGATCTCGGGCCGCGCGCTGCTTCTCATGGGTCCATAAGCATCTGGACTAGGTGGCTGTGACGTTAGGCAAACGCTCTGCCACCCAAGGGTGTCACTCCTGCTACCAGACTGCTGGGGAGGGCCGAAGGGGCGGGGTGTCGCCGGGGAACACGCCTATCTCATTGGCTGGCTAATCGCAATCAGATCATGTATGTCATAAATTTGGCGAGCGGCTTGCTGCTGGGGATGTTTATTGGTATATTGGCGACAGTTGATAAGAGCGAAGAACAACAGCGGCTTGTCAGCGCCTCAGAGATGGCGAGATTACATTGTTCAGGACAGCTATTCAAAACCCTCCTCCTTTATCTGGGCTTCTAATCTAACTCCTATTAGAATAGAGAGATAAAGTACTCCTGTTTTCTTTGGGGTGGGCTGTAGTGCACTGGGGGGGGGGGGGGGGCAAGACAGTCTGCAGAGTATTACTTAGAGAATGGAAATATACATGGTTGTGTTTTAAGGGGGAAACAAGGAGACAAATTTATAATTTATCACCACATTATCGTAATATCCAGCCAGGCTAATCAAGACGACCTGAAAGACTATTTTTCGCCTTATCGTCCGAAGTGGTGGAAACGGTGGCGGGATTATCAGACTTCTGCAGATTGCTGGGCTGGAATTTGAATGGTAATAATGGACCTTCTGGTGTTACAACTCCCCTGCGTATCGCTCCCAATATCGGCCCTTATCTGTCCGGTCATCGGTGCAAATTAATGGCGTTCTTTCAGCACCTAACACCTATCGCTACCCACTGAGTGGCCCGGGGGAACGAATAAGCAAAATATGAAAATACGGCATAAATCATTTTAGATAACGAGGTGCTGTGGGAGGCATGGACGGATGGGCCCGGGGACTTTTCCCTGTCCAGCGAGTGCCTGTAGTGACTTTTAGGGCCGTGTGCTCCTGGGGATTCACGGTCTCCCATGAAGTGTCCGGCGCATCGTTAATATTTCATGGCCGCACTGAGACCCGGTGCCTTAAAGCCCCCTGCGGCTGACTGACACCGCATTAGAGGAGCTAAAGACAGATCCGGGCTGCCGTACCGAATGCACAAAATGCGCAAAAAAAAAACACTAAAAAGCTGATGGGTTAAACCTCATGGTTCTATCACTTTAAGTGTTAATGAATATGACATTCCTACGGACAGAAACAGTGTGAAACCCAAAGAAATGCAGTGGTTTTAAAAGCGGCCATCCTGGTTTGAAACCGGATTTACACTCTGACAGAGATCTCAAAATGAACAAAGAGATGCGTCTTCATGTCTGTATTTACAGTATATACTGAATAGGACTGCAGTACAAGTGGATACTGTACGAATACTCCATCAGTGTAAAAAATGAACTCGGTTATATATTTAAAACACTCCTTTCTGCCCTGTATGCCTTTAACAAACCTCAAGTTCCAACAGCACGCAGAATTTGGCAAATTAATAAACTGAACACATTGCACTACCTGTTAATCTTATTTACATTATTACATATCATTTAAACGCAAAATTAGGTTAATAAATACTTCTACTTAAAATGGAAAAATAGATCTGAAGATTATTTAAATTCCAGATATTTTAAGATAAACAAATTTTAAATCATTTGACCTTATTTATATACATAATATTGTATAAACAATGTAATAACTGTATCAGATATCGACTATAATTATTACGCTTCTAAAACATAAAACTAACAGGTAAGAGGTGGCAGCTGGGTGAATTTAATCAGAACATAGGCTAGCTACACACGTCTGTTTAGTATTTTAAAAAGAAAGAAAATTAATTGTAAAGATTTAAAATTGAAGCCCCGAAAGACTCGCACGGTGGTGGATTTAGGACAAGACCCCCACAGCGGCTCACTTGGTTCGGGTCAGTGGATCTGGCTTTGGGAGGACCGGCGTTTCTCAGACAGTGATGCAGCGGACCGCCGCACTAACACCCGACACGGCGGATCACTTCGGCGGACACCCCCGGTGCGGCGTATCATATGATAGCGGGGAAATGTCAGCCGCAAGGCGGGTACAGAAAACTAGGGCAGTGTTGAAATTGTACGTATGAGGCTATGCGCATAATTGTTCTGCTTTGCCTGTCCCTTTGATGGATGCTTTACCTTTATCAGGTGTTATAAGGGATGTTTTTACTACACTGCTGTTTTCCCATAAAAAAACGCTGCTGCAGAATCTGAAAACTTCATAGCTCGTCTGTATTTCGTTTCCCTAAAATATTCTGTTACTTGCACGGTCATCTAGCTAAATATATTCTTTAAAATAATAGCCTACTAACATACAAAAACAAAAGATGGAAAAAGTCTGTCATAACACCGGTTAAGAAATACAGACTCCCGCATGTCAGGTGTTACGCACCTTTACATTGTCACACGTGTAATTGTATTATAAACGGCAGCAGTATTACCACTATATGTATTTTCGTGTATAAACATACAGGCCTATATAAAAAAAATCAAGAAAATCCCAGATATACTTTTACTAGATTCAGCATATGCCAGCCGCGCTGAAATCGCACCTTTACCGAAAACACAAAATATCGATGCCATTCATATTATTAAAATTTGTATATATTCTAAATTATATTCAGTTATATTACATGACTCCTGATGATGTATTATCTTCTTTTGTTCAAAATGTTTTCCTGAATTAAAACTACACACTTCAGTAAACGGTAGAACAAAATTCAGAGCATTCCTATAGTCCTATAGTCCAACTTTGCAGGGGAGCTACATTGACATCTAAGAAAACTGGCCTTTCAGAACATTTCACTCGGAATTATTTCACAGGTAGTATACGGTTTAACACTTTTTATATTGTCACGCACCTCGAATCAAATTATGAATAAAACTGCCAAATGTTCAAATTCGGAGCATGAGATTATAGCACTCGGAACATGATCCGAACTTTCCCAGGATTTACTACTGTACATTTTAACATGAGTGACAGCGTAAGAAAGCGGCAAACTTACGTTTGATTTGCCTGGGGTTGCTTTGCTTCCTTCGGGACATGCTGCGATCTGCTCCGCGGACCCAAGTGAGCGGTTCACTGATGTCGGTGCATCCAGGCGTCAGTCAATGCCTAAAATTTCTGATTCAGTGAAATGGCAAGGGGGGCGCTTTTGTCAGAAATGTGGTTTTCAGTGCCCCTTGCTGGGTTCCCTTTGCCTTGCTCCCTCCTGCCCGCTCGGTTATGCCTTTATCTGCGGCGCTCTCGGAGCTGTGCTGCGCTGCGATCCACACGCACTGACTGGAGGGACGAAAGCGTTTCGCGCTTTTGTTTGAACATGAGACTTGGGCCTTGCCGGTTGCCGTAGTGAGTGCCGCACAGCTTGAAGGCTGTGAGCTGCGCGTCCACTTGTACCAGCATCGCAGCGGCGCCGTGTTTCACGGGGACGCGCACAGCCGTCACCTTTTCGGGGTCGCTCCCAGCTTTTTATACGTAAAACACACACAGTAATTCATTTTGCAGCTGGACTATTAAGTACTTCCCAGAGGTGAATTTCACGAATTATGGATCTGCTGATAGGGGTGAAATATATAATTACACAATTCCTCTCCAGAAATATGTTAAATGTACTGAAGAATTATAGGGGCGTCAATAGAATAGAAATAATGATCGCAATGTGACTGTCAAATATGACAGCTAATCTTATATTAGCGTTATTGTGCCGACATTTAGAAAAACAAATGGTAAAATATATGTATATATAGATTGAAAACAATACTCTTTAAAAACTGCAAAACACGAGTGTCTCTGGAGGAGCACAGGTCATGGGGTAAAGGTTTAATAATAAGTCTGACAAATGAATGTATTTATTAGACCTAATACACAATAACAGTGCAAAATTTTGTTAACACCGTCTAAAATCATATAAATGTAATTTAAAACAAACTTTTAAAAAATGTTTTCTTAAAGTCTACGGTGATTACATACTGTATGTGAATGCATGTATGTATTTCTGTATATATTCTTAACTTTCTGCCTAAAAACGGAAACGTGTTATTCATGAATGATTTTTTTTTTTAAATGTATGTTTCATATGAATAATAATATTTGTTTCAATATGGGTCGCCTATTCATATTTATCCATGTCATTTATGTTATTTCTTTTATGATATTTATATAGAAAAGTACTATATAACGCATTTAGACGTGTGATACATAATTGAACAGCCAGTACAGTATATTACCTACACGTCCGTGTGTGATGTTTGGTCATTTATCACATATGAAGTAGCCGATTAGTTGATGAGTTCTCTCATGCCAGGTTTCGTAGCCGGTTCTGCTGGTGTATTTTTCTGATTTGTCTCCAGATTTTTGAATGGAAGTGATCTGAAGCTTTAAACATTGCGATTCATGTACACAAACTGAAATCCCTTGAGCCTTCTTCTTGTTAGGTTCATTTTAACGGATGCGGTGGTGTACCTGAACATGCCCACACCTTTCGCTGCTTTCCGGCTCTTTCCGTGCGCTTTCCTGGATCTGACGGTATGAAGCCGCCGCTCGGACCTGCGCAGCCGGAATGTGGTTTCATTGCGTCTGAAGAAATTAATCCTTTTTGGAGGAACACGTTTGTGTCTTAACGCCTTGCCTTGTAAACTCAATATGTGATTTGCAGTGATTTTGAAACATTTTTTTATTCATTGAAAGTATTTTTGCACATTACAGCTGCTATTTTATCGGTTTATATGGAATATAACCTATTACAGTGGAGAGGGTTGGGTAAAACTGTTTTAATGAACTTCTCAAAATGCAAATTGTAATTTCAGAACTTTATTTCTGAAATATTGGATATAAAAAAGTAATATGCCACTAATGACAAGGTACAGTGGGTTTGACTGTCTTGCACCTTGTAGTTCAGCATAAATAATGCAGAATAGATTACAGTAATTAATTACAATAATTTTTTCAGCAATAATTTCTCTATTGTAGATGACATGGGAGATTAAACTTGCATAATCTACTTATAATTTGTCTTGCTGTTTGTGTAAGTGCCCTTCGTGTAAGTGCCCTTTGCTCGGCGACCTCATATAGGAAAATACGTATCTGGAGAAGTATATGAGTATAGGATCAGTGCAGACCAGGTGCAAGTATTTAGGCTCTTATACTGCTACTTTTAATTTTTATTTTTAGAGGTTTGAAACAAGACACATGCTGTGTATTTTATCATCATCTTCATCATCATAATCATCATCATCATCATCATCATTATTGTTGTTGTTATTATTTTGTCAAACTTCTATCTTCAGTTACTACTTACCCAGCACAGAGTTACATTTTTGTTAATATTTTTATCATAATTCTTTATATTTCTTATACAGAAAAATCTGTAAAAATCAAGGATCATGTTAGGAGAAATACTCTGTTTTCTTGGCCCATTGCAGTTAAGTTGTGGTTGTGTATTCTGACCATAATTTATTCCAGAGACATTTTGTGTTGTTACAAGGTTGTATCTGTGACCATAAAGGGTGCAGCTCTTGTACCCTTAAGACAGGAGCATATCTGCTCTGGTAGAAATGCAGCATGAGATGATTTTGATTAAAACCATCAGCTAAATATAAATGTGGATGGATGCAGTGAACGTGGCTGAGGCAGTGAAGGCAGAGTTGAATATGTTTGTTATCATTTATAATAATGTGCGGATGATATTTTGAGATGCGCTTGGTTCACATGTCCTGGTGTCTGTGTATCACCCATGAGGCGGCAGAGATGCAACGGTGCCATCAGACCAAAACCCCAAGCAGCGGCACTACTTGAAACTTCCGGAAGTTCATTACAAAGTATGAAAAAAGCAGCATGTTGGATTTATTTATTTCATTCGACTTTGCCGTCCTCACCGCTCATACTTTAAGTGTCATTACTTACACGGTCACAGAGACTGGGAATCGCCTTCTTCAATTAGCCAGTTGAACTGCCAAGTAAAACAAGCAAGTGGCCTGTGAAATTGCAGCATCTCGCAGCCCAGTTTCAGGCTTTGGGATGGGGTGGCGGGAGCCTCAGCATCCTCCCCGGGTGTTAACGTGTCGCTGGCGCTCTGGCGCCATAACAGTATTCCGTTCGGAGTTAGAGACGCCCCTGAATGAATGGCACTTGGGGTCAGCAGCGTCCCACAGGAAGACGGGACCGGACCCCTGGACGTAGCGAGACAAGCCTGGCAGACGCAGGCGCACACGGCCACTGCTTGTGCTAACGTGTAATTCTCACTGCATAAAACAGTGCACCGCCAGCGAGGGTTCAGAAGTGCTGCAGAATCGGCGTGACGATATTCATCTACTGCGTAAATTTTGGCGGACAAGGAGAGGCGAGCTTCCTGCTGCCTTTGCTGGGGCCCGACGGGGGTGAGGACCTCAGAAGGAGGCGGACAGCTGTGCTGTTTAGAGTGTGGGGGTGTGTAAATGCAGCCGGGCCACAGATCCACAGTGTGTCATCTTAACACAGTTTTTGAATGCGATTTGTAAACGTTCGGGTCTGGCAGAAATGCGGCATTTGAGAGATGTTCTTCAGGTTCGGTCCCTCCATGGTGACCTTCCCATGAGTTCCCTGCTCCCGTTTCCCTCTTTAAGTTTCATTGTAACTCCACTGCTACACATGCCAGAGCAGTTTCCTTCACAGTCGCCGTCAGATGGGATATAGCAGTCCGGCCAGCGGTGTGACATCAAGGGCTGGGCTTGACAGTCACCAATTTGTCATCATGATGGTTTGGGAGGGATGCAGTTGGCTGGCATCCAGAGGATGTGAGGCGTATGGTCAGGAGAAACAGCCAGGGGAGTGGCCAAGGTTATGACTAGCCTGCCTCCCCTTTTGGCTCCGGGGAAAGGCTGCTGTGGACCTGAGGGGGATGTGGACACAAAGGCCAAAGTGGTAATTTGTGCAGAGTGACTTTTGGCCACAGGACCATGCTGTAAATATACGCCGGAAAGCATGGAGTCGCTACACTAATCTCACCTTTACACTCTTTTCGTTTTCTACCACCCCAGGGGCAGGAGGAGCATCCCTGTCCCACTGAGGTAAATAGGTCTCCAGCCCTACCCCCCCCCCAACACGTTTCCAGAGTGACTACAGTTCCCCACTGATCTCACCCCCTTTTCCGTGGTATTTATGTTTAACTCGCAAAATGCAAACCCCCCGAAGAATAAACAGATTATACACAGGCAAGGCTTTGAAAGGAGAATTTATATTTACGAAAACAGGCCTTTTCCTGTGAGATGGAGTCGATTTAAATGGGTCTACATCTCTGTGGAAAGTGGAAGGGGGGACAGTGCGGGGAGGCGGCTCTGTGGGGCATTGTTGGAAACAGACTGTGTTTTTCACAAAATATCAGTTTAGTGTTGGAACCGTATGTGCTGGTAATTTGAAGTCCGGCGACCAAACAATTGCTTTTTACAAAGGAGGCAATGACAAAAAGTTGTGCAAGAAACACATTTTACTATTAAAGCCCCCTTGATTGATGACGGATGATGGGTGATGGATGGCTGGACATTTCAAGTAAAAACAACACAGTACTAAAAATAATTATCTTTGTACTGTCAATCTTTTGTATAGGAATTCAGGCTGTGTTAACTTAGCTCAGGCAGCCTTACAATAGCTCAGGCTTAGCACAGGCTGCCTTACAACAGCTCAGGCTTAGCACAGGCTGCCTTACAACAGCTCAAGCTCAGCTGAGGTTTAGCACAGGCTGCCTTATAATAGCTCAGACGTAACGCAGGCTGTGTTACAATAGCTCAGGCTTAACACAGACTGCATTAACACAGCTCAGGCCTAGCACTGGCTGCTTTACAATAGCTCAAGTTTAGCACAGGCTGCATTGACACAGCTCAGGTTTAGCACAGGCTGCCTTACAATAGCTCAGGCTTATCACAGGCTGCATTAATACAGCTCAGGCTCAGCTCAGGCTTAGCACAGGCTGCTCCCTGAGGTCCCCTCTTTCGTTAATGACCAGCTGTGTTCAATCTGTTCACCTGGGTCTCTGAGGATCAGTTAAAACGGTAAATATCTGTGTAAAGATGATCAACAGGAGAGCTGAGACAGCAGCCCCAAAGCATGCAGAGTCAGTCTCTGTGAACACACAGTTCTGGAGTGAGGGTCTGAGGTGAGGTCCTGGAGTGAGATTTAAGGTGTGGTTCCGGGGTGTGCAAATGAAATGACCACAGCTATCACACATTTTACTACAGAATTATTGTTTCTAATTTCCAATATTAAGTTTTCACTTTGCATCATGCTTTTTGTCTCTTAACATGTATAT